GAAAGTGGGGGCAATTGGGGAGTTAGAGGAAGGAGGCAGGAGGGGCAGGCTGGCAGCTCCGAGCTACTCCATGCAGCCCTCAGGGCCGGGTGCCTGGGCAGGAGGAGGGGGCAGAGCAGCTGCTGGCGATTTATTAAGCAGTCACGGAAAAATTGGTTTATAAATTAACAGCTGTTTTAACTTTAGGGCCTCTTCTTCAGGGAATGGAAGCAGCCGACTGGACCGGGATCGGAGTGTGTGTGAGGCTGGTGGAGGGGGTAGGAGGCAGCGGGCTCCAGCAGCTGGCATTCTTCGGGGGCAGCCTCAGCTGGCACCTCGGGGGGCACCAGGCAGTGGCCAGAGCAGGGGGTCTCCAGGTGCCTGGGCTGAGGCTGCCCCTGCTGTGAGCTGCCTGCTTGCTCACTCTTCTCAACAACATTCCACGTGGAGGCGCCAGAGGGCACAGATACCGCTGTACTCATGTCTGCCACCAGAGGGTAGCCTGGACACGTTGATTTCTGCTTCCCCTCAGATGCGTCCAGACAGGTCAGGACGGAGAGAAACCCGGTCCAAAGCTGAGCAAGAGAGAAGTCCGGTCCAGTGCATGCTAACAATCTGCCACTCGCCCATCCTGAATGCATTAAGGTAGTAGTAAAGAGTGAGGGCACTGCCACACTGTCTGCGCTTGAACCCAGGCTCTGGGTGAAAATTAGGAGCTTCATTTACCTTACTGTAAAATGGAATGATACTAATGAGGATTAAATGAGATAATACATATAAAAAGCCTAGCTCAGTGCCCAGCACAGAGTATATGCTCCAGATATGTCATCCATTGTCAGTTTCATGACTTATGTATTCATCCATTGATTCATTCCTCAATCCATCCCCTTTACAGAATGTAGTAACCACTGTATTCGGAGCACTATGGCAGGTGGGTCATGATGCAAAGATAGATGGTGGGAAGGACATGTCTCAAAATAGTGTGCTAAGAAGTATGATACATTCAGTGGGGGGGAAGGGGAGGTTGACTTGAATGGGCCAAAAGAGAACGTTTTGGGGTGATGAGAATGTTCTATATCTATATTGTAGTAATAATCATACGTTGTTTAAAATTCTCAAAAATTCATAGAAATGTATATTTTAAATTGATAGTTTTTACTATATATAAACCCTAGCTCAGTAAAATTGATTTTTTAAAAAAGCACCCAAAGCGAATTTATTGAATGGGCAAAGGGGAAGGATAATGGATGAATGAATAAATGAATGTGGGAATGAATGCCTCAGATTACCCACCTGTCTTGGAGTCACCATTGTCCCGGCTGAGGATGCCCTTGCCCTCTCCTCTCGATGTTCACGAGTTTCCCCAGGGGCCGGCCTTGGAATTCTTCCCTCCCCCATCTGCTGCCTCTCCAAGCGGCAAGGCAAAGGAAAGATGCCGTAGTGTACCCAGCTAGCGCTCCCTAACTTCTCTAAAGTTGCTTCCCGGGGCTTCCGGGGGCCTCCCTTCCAGCTGCTACATGCCAGCCCGGCCAGCTCGGATCAGCCCCGTGGTACCAAGGTCAGGGATACGATGCCCAACTACAGACCCGGTTCCAGCCGCGCAGCCGCCCAAACCCTGGCCGACACTGTCACCTGATGGTCACTTTTGGAACTGCACCCCTAGAGCTCCACGGAAGCTGGAACTTCAAGACCTACCAGGAGTCCTGCACTGCATAGGGGCTTTTTTAGTTTTATCTCATTGACTGGTCACAGCTACCATGTGAAGTAGGCTTGTAAACCGAGGAAACAGAGAAGCTAAGGAAGTTGTCTTCGTTCACAAGTCAGTTATAAACATAAGATTCCAGCCTAGGTCTGTTCAACTCCCAGTCCATGTTACACCTGACTTTATCTTGCTTGGGGGAAGGGAGGGAATATTCACGACTGTCCGCTCTCCCTACCTCCTACAAAGTGCTCAAAGGCCTCATAGCACCCTCCCAAATTCAACTTCCAGAGAAGGTGAATGTGATGCCTCCTGCATGCCAGGCACTGTACCAGCACCAGGCAATGATGTGAAGAGAAATGCTGAGGACATGTCTCAGACCTATGATCACGTTAATAGACACCCTAGGATAAACCATTTTGTCAGTCTAAACAAAAAGACCCACAGTTCAATCAGAGCTACGTCAAGCAAGGTCTTGAATTTTTTCCTTGGACCCAACTGCCTGTGCTTCTAACTCAAGAATAATAACTTGGGAGTGGCATATTATTTTTACATCTCGTTTGCATATGATTAATTCTAAGTCAAAGAGAATGGAGGTCACCCTGGCCCCTTGCTTCTCAGCTGCCCCCCAGGTGCCTGACCCTGGCCACCTCCCCCTGAACCCTTACTGGGCTCCCCCATCCTCACCCACCCCTCCCCACACCTTGCCCCTGACCACACCTTCCCCAACTCCCAGAAGAACCCTTTCCTTCCTCCTCTGTCACCCACACAGCCCCCGCCACCTGGCCACCCACCTGAAAAACTTTTCCCCAAGTTCTTGAGAAGTTGCGTAGGATCCAGGAGAGAAAAATCAAAGTAATAAAACCTCATTTAATCCCTGATGGAGGGCAGAGCCGTGAGCTGCAATTATCTTAATGCAGAGCTATTTTTACTCTGTCTCTGTCTCCTGCCTCTCTCTGGCGAGGCTTTCTCTTTCTCCCTTTGTCTCTCCATCTCTCACATGTGTTTTCTCTTTCTTTTTGCTTTTTCCTACCTCTCCCCCTTCTCTCTCTCTCACCTCATGTCTCTGTCATCCTTCCTTCCCTTCCTCCTCCTTCCTGACTGTCCCTTGTCCCTGCCTGTACCTGTGTCAGCCAGTCTTCCCAACCCTCTTGACTCCAGGGTTTAGCAGCCAGTGGGGGCCTGGGCAAAGCTTGGAGGAAGATGATAAGGACCTTTGCTGACCATCCCCAACAAGACCCTATCTCCAGGCCTAGTTGAGAAGGGAGAGTATCCTCCCCAGCTGCCCCAGCCTGGCTCAGGGGAGTTTTCTGGATTCAGGGCTGCCCACAGCTCCAGTTTTTTGGCAGAACTTCCATAAACAAGTCCTCCCTGGTCCAGTGGGCCTCAGTGGCCATGGCCCCCAAGGCCTTCTCAGCTCTGATGGGCTCTGAGGTATAACTGGTGGTTATGCCTACTTGCACCTGTCCTCTCATCACTGGTCTAGCTGTCCTCTGCCCTCTTCATCCTGCCACAGTACCTTCCCAATCCCCCAGCACTGGAAGTCACAGGCCCCTCACCCTCACCTTGGCCCAGTGGCCACTCCGGTTACTGCCTGGGCTGTGCCTTTCCTGTGCCCCTCCTGACTTTCAGAACTTCCTTATTTACCCTCCCAAGTACTGCCGAACTGGTCTTTGCCACTCCCCACCACACCTCACTGAAAGAGGGGTCTGGACCAAGCCAGGGGCTTTCAGAGATGCCCACACCCCTGGGCCAGCAATTTGGCATTTGGCTGTCTACCTACAAGCATATAAATCAACAAACAGGGTAGGATTTGAGCCAAGCCTGGGGTTTGTGGGGAGAGCTGCTGAGCGGCCAGGGCTTCCTGCATCTGTGAACAAAGCTCTGCCCTTCTGCCACCCTCTTTCTCACCCCCAGAGTGGACACTGACTCTGGGGCACAACATTGTGTCTCTGACCCCATTTTCACAAGACTCCCCTGGCCTTGCTCACTGGACCTTGCTCCGCCAGGGACCCAGCATGCTGGGACTGGGAGTGGAAAAGTTGTTGGAGAAGGTGGGGAGGGTTCCTGACTGTTCCAGGCCTGAGCTTGACCAGGAGAGCACAGCCAACACAAACAGAGCCCCAGGAAGACACACTCACATGTACACGTCTACACAGGCACCCTCTCAGCGCTACAGAGAGGCATTCAGACCCTCACCCCCAAGCCTGCAGAGAGAAACACCAGCTCCTGCAAAGATATCCAGGGGCTGGACAGATAAACAGGGACACTCCAACTCACAGGGCCAGCTCCTCCCCTTTCCTCCTTGCAGAGACACACAGATACCTCTGCAGGGAGAGAGGCTCACACCTCAGAAATGAGCACACATACCTCTCCCCCAGCTCTGTTTCAGAATGCACCAAACTCACACGTGATGGCACGTGTACTGGTACAGTCAGCCCCCCAACTCTGTCCCTCTGGGGCTGGCTCTGTCTCCCTCTCCCTGCCCCCCACTAAACCTGGGAAGAAAAGGCAGGAGACACGTGCATCCAGGGTACACCTACCCCCAGGAGTGCTCTCACAACCACATCCCCCTCTACTGCACAGGCTAGAGCTGCGGATGCAGTATTCCCACCCCCCTGCAAGCTGGCACATGCCAGCCCATCACCTTGACAGCCTCTGACATCCTCCCCCACACCTACACCCTCCCCCGCACACACATAGTCTTCCCACACCCTGCCACTCACACCCGCATCCTTGACACTCTGACACACTTACTCACATAGTCTCTCACACACTCATGCCACACCGACCCCCCCCACACACACACTCTTTAGCTGCAGGCACCACAGGGCCCTGCACTCACTCACTCCCTGCCATGATGACTGACAAGTGTCCTCCCACACACAACCGGCTCTCTCACGCTCACTGGCTCTCTAGGACACCCCCATTCACAGCGTGACATGCTGGTGGTACTCTCTCCACGACCTTACAGGCCTGCTGGTGAAACTCCAAGTACATAGGTCAGGAAAGGGTGAATGCCAGAGTGCCACCCCCTCCCCTCCCGACGCTGCCCCTCTCCCCTCGGCCTCCCGCCATTATCCTCCCTGCTGGACTCCATCAATAATGCAGCTTCAAGTTCTGGGGAGACGGTAGGGGGCCCCCAGCCCGCTCCTAGTCCTGGCTCACTTTCCCCACCCTCCTCCCGGCCCCAGGGAGAACACTGTTCTCGGCGTTCATTGGCCACTTTCTCCTAAGCCCGCCCACCAAGCCCCAGGGCGCCAGTCCCAGGCCATGGGGACGGGCTGGGGACCCCAAGGCCGGAGCCAGAGGGTAAGACCAGGAGGGACGGAGAGAGCCAGAGACAGAGAGAAACACACAAAGAGGAAGAGAGGGCGATAGAGGGAGGGCGGAGAGACAGAGCAGACACACAGAGACCCTCAGCCTGGGAAGCGGGGACAGGCAGAGGCACCTAGACAGCGGGCGAGTCCGAGGGTGCGGGCGCGAGGGCGCGAGGGCGCGGGCCAGCGCAGCCGAGAGCCGGGACGCTCCGACCTCGCCGGGCAGCGGCCGATCCCTCCTCCCGGCTCGCGCGCCCCCCCTCGCCGAGCGCGGTATTTTTATCTGTGCGTGAACAGCCCTCCTCCTCCTCGCCACACACAGCCCGCTGTTGCCGCGGCGCCCCGAGCAGCGCGGGGGAGCCGAGCTGGGACCGCAGCCCGGGACCCCGAGTCGCGCGTCCCCAGCCCCGCCGACCAGATCGCCCGCCATGGACCCCAAGGACCGCAAGAAGATCCAGTTCTCCGTGCCCGCGCCCCCCAGCCAGCTCGACCCCCGTCAGGTGGAGATGGTAAGGGGGCCGCGCCCCACCCCCGGCAGCGCCCCAACACACTCCCGGGCTCCTCTGAGCTGTGGCGCGCTGCCGGTCCCCACTGGCCTGGGGGATGGGGGGCAAAGGAGAGCGTCTGGCCCCCTCGGACACAGCCGGGGTGCGGCGGCAGCCCGTGAAGTTCGCTGGAGACTCGAGCAACTTTTTCCCTGGGACCCGCGTCCTGATCCCGGGGCGGAGAATTCCTGGCAGCGGGCGTCAGGGGCAGGCCATTCCGGGTCCTCCGGGAAGGGGGGACCGTCCTCTGGACCCTACACAGTGTCCTCCTTCCCGAGGCTACCACTGGGACCACCGCGCCAGTCAGAAGCGAGGAACAGCGGACGCTGAGCCTTTACAGGAGCAGGCTACACCTCGGTTGCCCCGCCGCTCTGCCCTTCTCCAGTCCCACCCTGTTGGCCACGGATGGAGTCCCCTGAACCTTGTTCCGACCCTCTTCTGCTGTCAGGCCCTAGACAGATTCCAATAGGGAGTGCGTGACCAGTCATCACGGAAGCCAGACCCCTTCACACAGAACTGCTGAGTGCCCTGGAGAGCTTTCTGGGGGCTGGAGGCTTGCAAAGGTTGGGGTGGGATGGAGAGAGGAAGAGAGCTCTGCCCCCAGCAGCCTGCCTGTGTTCACTTGTTGCTGAGAAGAAACTGGCACCCCACAGAGCAGTGAGAATAGGGCCGAGTCATTTTGGAGGGAGAGAAAGAGGGGGTGGCTTGGGCCCTAGGCCTAAGCCGCTTTTGGTCTGGAGGGCAGAGTTGGGAGTTTGGCAGGGGGAGGTGGCAGTTTCAGCTTAATTTCATCTGGTTCTCTTCCTGCATTTCCCTGGAGTTCAGAGGGGACCTAATTAACCGACAGCTGGGCTGACTGCCAAGCTGGGGGTGGGGGTCAGTTCCTGGGAGTGCTCAGTGTCTCCCCCCTGACTACCACCTCAGCGTTCAGCTTGGCTCATGTACCAAGGAGGGCAACTTTGTTTTTAAGAGGCCTGGGTAAGAGTTGCACAGCCTGAGAGGGACTGCCGGAAGGGCCCAGACCAGGCCCCTGGGGGCCTGGGGCTCTGCTCCACACCTAAACTGCCGAGTGAGGTCGGCGGTGCCTGCGGGGCTGCGGCTCAGCCTTCCACTGCAGCTGGATCTGGTTTCTTTGGACCCCTTGAGCTGACCTCCGGTGGGCAGGGTTGCATGGGTGCCATATCCCATGGGTCATCTTCTGTAGCCAGCTTCGGCTCCTGAGGTCTGACGTCTTCAAAAGCAGCCGAAGGGCCTTGGTGGGGGAGGATAGAAAGGGTGATGCCCACTCTGGAGTAAGCTATGGAGCAGGATGGGCACGGGCAGGGAGTCAGAGATGGACTTTTCTCATCCTTTCTCTGCCTTGGCCTGCTGTGTGGCCTTGGGCTCTCTGCTGAACCTCCTCCAGCCTCGTGTTTTCACCTCCGTCAAATGAGGGGGTAGGGTGAGCTATAGAGTTCCTTCCAGCTATGACAGTCTTTGATTCAAAGGTTCCCTGGGGACTCCAAAGCCCTGCTTGTTCCCTGCTGCCTGGGGAGATGGGGGGGGGGTGCTGCAGGTGTCTGTCCAGCCCCCTCTCCCACCTCTTTCTCCACCTCCTTAGATCCGGCGCCGGAGACCAACCCCTGCCATGCTGTTCCGGCTCTCAGAGCACTCCTCTCCAGGTTGGCCCCTCTCTGCCCACCAGCCCTGGTCCCAGCCTAACTCTGATGCCTTCTTGGCCCCTGCCAAAGTCCCATGGGTAGGAGACTGAGCAGAAGATGGGTGGAGGAGGGTGGGTAAGGTCTGGGATCTTGACTCTGCTGGGTTCAGTTACTGACCAAGCATCTCCCAACATCAGGAAGGAAAGGGCACCCTTTCCCTTTCCCTAAAGATTGAAACTTTGGGGAAAGTAATTTGATTCTCTTTCTCTCTTCCCCCATCGCTCCGCTCTTATCCCTTCTGCCTCCCTTGGTTCATTGGTGACCTCCCTCAGAGGAGGAGGCCTCCCCCCACCAGGTGAGTTTTGGGGGGGCAACTGGAAGGAGGGGTGCTGGAGCCCTTTGTGGTGGGGTGGATGGGCTTCCTTCCCAACCTACACAGGGGGCCACCCGGGAGGTCACATTAGCATATCAATCGGCACTTCAGTGGGAGAGCCTGGTGCCAGGATGCCACCAGCAGATCCTTCTCTGGCCTTCTCTCCTCTGCTTAGACTGTGGCTGGGCCTCCAGTACCCAGGTCCTGCCCTGAGCTGGGCCATGGTTATGGAGGCCTTCCCACAACAATGGGGCAGGACCTGAGGGGCAGCAGCACTTGGACCCATGGGAGAGGTTACAGCAGCTGGGCCTGGGGTGCCATGGGTGAGATGGAAGGGAGGGAGGGTGGGGGGAAAGCCTCTGGTAAGCCCATTTAACCTGGCCCTCACCCTGCAGAGAGCTTCAGGAGAGGGGCACCACCTCAAGTCGAAGAGACCCAACCCCTGTGCCTACACGCCCCCTTCACTTAAAGGTACTATCCCCCCACCTGGTCTGGCTGTCCCCTTAGCCTCTGGAACAGGGCTCTCGCTGGGGGAGGGAGGTGAAATGTTGAGTTTTTGTTAGTGGGGAGGAATCGGCCTGTGTACCCTTGCCCCTACCTACAGACCAGTTCTTCCTGAATTTGGCCTTGTAAAGAAAGAGCAAGAGGCTGACAAGAGTGGCTGTGGCCTTAACATCAAGTTGTGGGGTTGAAAGAAAAGAGGTGGCTGGCCTAAGATAATAAGTAGGCTCCAACATAAAGAAACCCGGCTGTGCGCCTCCTCTCTGCGAGTGTGTGGCCCCCTTCCCCGCTCCCCACAGCACACCTCCTCCAGGCTGCAGCCCTGCTCTCCTCTCCCACTGGCATAGCATGCACATGGGGGGCACTCTGGATGCGTCTCCTTCCTGCTGCTTCTTTCTATATTAAAAGGCTAGTCATTCCTATAGCACACACTTCTCGAGCACCTACTGTATGCCAGGCCTCACTGGAGGGCCTTGGGCAAAATAAGAGAAGTGAGATTTGGCCCCTACCTTCCTGGAACCTTTGCCTCAAACGGTCAGGGTGAGTTCCGATGAAGAAGATGTTTAAGCCTGGATCAGAAGGATGAATAGGAATTCAACAGGCAGGCAGGGCATTTCAGGAAGAGGGAAAAAGGTGTGCGCTGGGGAGGTGTGAAATCACAGGTCTTGAGGGCCAGTCTGGAAACATGGCTTCAAAACAAGAGTTGAGAGAGACCCGGAGGAGCAGGTGAGGAACATGGATGTAGGGAGGGTCTCTTCCTTCCTAAGGCACGGGATGCTGGAGACTCTTCCTGCCTGGCTGGGCCCCCCTCCCCATGGCAGGAGGGAGGGAGACTGAAAGTATATGCTGAGAGCTCCCCTGGGGGTGGGTATAATGAGTTTTCAGCACTGGCCAAGGTCAACAGGTGCACCTGTCAGCCTGCCTGCCAGGGTTGGGAGCAGAGAGGAGAAGCTGGCAGGAGAGGAGGGCAGGGATGTTTTCTTTTCCCCCAGGACTGGAAGACAAAGGGACAGCAAGCAGGCAGTGGGTTCAGCAACTGGCAGTACTTCCCTCTGTAGGGATGTGGGGAAGGTCAGCCCCCAAAGCAGGTATCAGGGAAGAGGTGGCATCTTCTCAGGGTAGAATATAAGAAATCTCCCTCCTCCCCACCCTGGGCTGGGGAGGGCCAAGTAGATGTGAGCAGGGGGAACTGTCCCTTGGACTCTTGATTGTGCACATGGTGCAGAGGGCTGGGGTGAAGAGGATAGGACCAGGGTGCCATGGCCAGATATGTGCCCCCATCCCCCCTGCCCCTTTGGGCTGTGACTTAGGAGGGTCTAAGTGGGGAGAGGCAGGGCAGTGGAAAGAGGCCAGGAGAGGGGTGGGCAGTCTGGGGTCTGTGCTGGGCACCTTGGAGCTTAAAAAGGGGACTTGGATGAAGGGCAGTTCAGGGCCCCAGGGAATGAGGCAGAGAAGGAGACAGCTGGGAGGGCAAGGGGGAGACCCCAGAGAGCCCTGAGAGGCACGAGGCAAGGCGGGGCGAGGCACGCGAGGCCCACGGGGAGCCGGCACAGGCGCTGCGCACACCTATTATTGTCACTGTGGCTCATGAACTGAACTCTCCTTCTCCCCACTGGGGGAGGGGGTGGCTGTTCAAACTGTCACCTCCTCTTCTCCACGCCCCCAAACCCCCAAAGTACCCTTCTATGCCTGGAGGGCACTGTTTTGAAGGCTTTGGCCCCCTTCTAGGCAGGGGAAAGCACCCCAGGGGTGGGGGTTTGTAGGGGGAGAAGCCCCAGGGGAGGGTGGGCAACACTGAGTCTTGGCTTTGAGGGAGTTCTCCAAGGCTGAGCTCTCACACTTGGCTTCAGGTGAAGCTTTGCAGTGTCCCCAAGGCCAGGGCACGGCAATTTATTGCGGTTTTATTGCCTGGGTAGCTTGCCCAGAGCCAGCAGGAGGCACCGGGCTGGGAGCACAGGGCGGGGTGGGGCAGCGGGCACACACAATGCTCCCTCTGTGCCTGTCCCTGGGTTGGCAGGAGCGCGGTACCCTACTCACTGCAAGGAGGTTTCCAGCCTGGATCTACCCTCTGGGTTTCTGAGGGGAGGGGCTGCCTGCTGATCAAGAAGGAGCTGCAGCAGCCCCAGCCCCTAGCTTGTCAGCATCTTGTCTGTGGGTTGTGGGTTTAGTGACTTAAAGGCTCTAAAATCCTACCACCTCCTGGTCCCTCGGCTGCCTCTGCCCAGCCACTCTTCACAGGGTCTCCTCCACCCCTTCTACTCTCCAGAATCCCCGAAGCCCTGGCTCCTTTCTCCTAACCCCCGATCCTTTCGATCTTTTGGAAACTTCTCTCCAGCTGCCCACACTGTTCCTTCCGAAGTCCTATTCCAGCAGGCCTTGGTGGGGTGGGGGTGGGGGTGGGGGTGTTTGCTGCTTTCTAGGCCAGCACAGAGGGAGCTGGAAGCTTGGGGATGTGGGTCAAGATTGTGGGGGCAGTACCTGAGCACATCACATCCCCAGGCACAGGCTTCACTGGCTGCAGACTAGTTCGTCCTCAGCATCAGTATTGTTCCTACCTCTCAGAGCCTGGGCAGAGGTCTGTGGAGTGGCATCTATAATGCAGTAGGGCCAGGGGATGGGGACCAAGTCCAGCACTGGGCAGACAGGATGTGGGTGAACCCTAAGCAGGCTGGGCACTCCCCCAGAAACTGAAAGGGACAAATCCCCCAGGTCCTGGCCCATAGGCCCTGTGACCTCTGCCCAGGGATATAGCTGGTGGACACTGTCTCCAGTACTGGATCCTCAGAGAAGCAAGCTTCCCAGCCAGGGAATGTTAAACTGCTCCTGTGCCAGCCTGGTCTTGTCCAGTTTGGCACCCTGTGGTGTGGGGGAACTGCCTGGTGCCAGCCTCCTGGGCCAGCATCTTTGGACAGCTTAAGAGCCAAACACAATCGAGTCTACCCCCTGCTGCCTCTGCCCTGGTCTGGCCCCCAGCAGGCTGACCTGCAGCTTTGGGCCTTTAAACTAGAATCCTGAGGGGTATAGCTTGCCCCAGGCCCATGGGAAAGGGGCTGGGGGCTGAGCCACATACCTCTCCAGCTCCATGGGCTGCTTCCTGGGCCTGGCTCACTCTTGCCTTCCTGGGTCCCCCTGTGCCAGCCGTGCAGCGCATTGCCGAGTCTCACCTGCAGTCCATCAGCAACCTGAACGAGAACCAGGCCTCGGAGGAAGAGGATGAGCTGGGGGAGCTGCGGGAGCTGGGCTACCCGAGGGAAGACGAGGAGGAGGACTATGATGATGAAGAGGAGGAGGAGGAGGAGGAGGACAGCCAGGCTGAAGTCCTGAAGGGCAGCAGGGGGTTTGGTAAGCTGAAAGGGCTGTGCAGCCTGGGTCCCTCTGCCATGGGTTGGATGGGGTCCTCCTTGAGTGTCCCGGGACACCCCCCCACCCAGCTCACAGTTTCTCAGGAACTATAGTCACTCAAGGGACTCCCATTCTCTTCCTCCATAGGATGCCTCACACTCACCTTACCTGACACCTGCGCTGCTCCTATCTGACTCAGCCCCTCTCCTGATCAACTTTTTCCTAATAATTCCTCTTCCCTAAGAATTAAAGCAAGGTCACATTAGGTTTTAGGCTAGATCTAAGGAAGGACTTCCCATCCATGGCAGTGAAGGAAGGGGTGCAAGGAGATGAAGGGATTGAGGTCTAAGAGTGTCCAATACTCCCATACCTGCATTTCTGAAAGTAAGATGTGCTGGGAGGCAGAAGGCTGGATAATAAGCCCTTTCCAGGACCCTATGGCTCTTTCTCCCCCCTTTTTTATTTCATAGGCTGGAGGTGAGAGGGTGCCCTCTAGTGTCTAGACGGAGAAATCTAGGATTCAAGAACCAACCTGATCCTCTATGCCTCCAACACCAGCTGCCTGGGAAGAGAGGGGCCAGGGAGGCCTACACAGAAGGCCTCAAAGCTAGAGGTCTCAGACGCAAATATTTCCACAGAGAGTCCCAAGGCCCAGGGAATTCCTAGGCAGGAAGATCTCAGCCCCTCCAATGGCTGTTTATTCCATGTCTGGTCATGGAAGGCTGTGCCACATCTATCCCTTCCAGTGCACATTAAACAATTGACCACCCCTGCCCTTGTACCCAAATAAAATGGTATGCGCCTCCTCTCTTCATCTCTGGCAGTGGAGGTATCAGCTATGGAGGAAAAGCTCCAACTGAGACTCCCACGACAGGTGAAGGGGAGACTGTTATCTCAGGAAAAACAGCAGTGGGTCAAGCAAGTGGCAAGACTACCAAGGAGCAATATCAATTGCCACCAGTCCTCAGGCAGCTCCTGAGTGCAGCACTGGGCTGGGCAGAGTATTAACTATAATCTTATTTAAGGCAATCTACACAATTCCTCACTTACCATTCCCCTCAGAGAGGTAACAACTAACGTATCTAAGTAAATGGCTAGTTGCTGGGAGAACTGGCTTAGTCCAGTGCTCTCTCCACTGTACCACTATGCCCTTAGAAATCTCAGCCTCAGCCATCAGAGAGACTCAGCTCATGCTCCAGGACAGCCAAATGGGTACTCAGAGCCTGTGTGTTGATACCTTCTTTCCTGTCTCCAGCTGGGCAAAAGACAGCTTGTGGGCAGGGTCTGGAGGGGCCCTGGGAGCATCCACCCCCTCTGGATAAGCCCCAGAGAGATGGAAGCTCTGAGGACCAAGTGGAAGACCGGGCACTAACTGGTGAGGGTTGGCTGTAAGGGATGGGGAGGTGGAGCTGGGGTCTGGGTGGGCATGGCCAGGCCCTGAGTCCCTCTGCTTCTCTTGCAGAGCTCCAAGAGGTGCCACAGGGTCCTGCCCACCCTGAGCCTGGCACTTAGGCATCCAGCCCTGCATCTCCCAGATGGAAGTGGAGGGGGCATCGCTGTTCCCCAGAAACCCACTCTGTCCCCACCTTATTTTGTACCCTTCCCCTCACTCGCTAGGGCTGTGGCTTCTGACTTCTAGAAGACTAAGGCTGATCTGTGTTTGCTTGTTTGCCCACCTTTGGCTGATGCCCGGATTCCCTGGGCACTTGCTGCCTGATGCCTACCCCTGCCAGCCATTCCCCCTTTCACCCAGTGGGAAGTGGGATTTGAGAAAGCTTGCTTTGGAAAAGCCAGTATAAACAGGAGACAAAGTTTCCTCCTTCAAATTCTACTCCCCAGACCCTCTCCCCTGGGCACAGGAAACCCACAGGGCAGGACCCTAAGATCTGGGGAAAGGGGGTACTGAGAATCTGCAGGTGCCCTTAGATCCTTCTCCATCCCCTTCCCCATGGGGGATTCCAAGTTACCTCCGCTCTCACTGGCTCCTGCCAGGGCCCAGGATTCAGGAATCCTTCTCCACAGCCTTAACATTTCGGAAATCTTCCCCTTTATCACTCCTGCTCCCCAGCCTGGGTGCCTGGACGATGGTCAGGCAGAGGCTGCTGTGTTGCGTTTTGTTTGTGCTTTGATGCCAGGAATGCCACCTAGTATATGTCCTTAGCGGGGCACATGGTGGAGGAGCCCAGGTTCTCCTGGTGCTCCAGCTGCTCTGCCCCCTTCCCCTCTTCTCTGACTCCAGGCCTGAACCGCTCTGTGCTGTAATAAATCTTTGTAAATAGTTGTGCTGAGACTGCTTTCAGGGGAAAAGAGGGGGAGGTGGTAACGGGTTTCCCTATGTAGAAGACCTGGTTGGTGGTCATCCAAGGGTCACAGCCTTGCCCCTATTGTCCAGTCCTCTTAGGAGTCTTTCCCGCAGACAAGCTCGCAACACGAAAGTTCTAGATCCTGCTAGGGATCTAGAAAGGCGGGTGGGAAGTTCTTCAAGAGTAATTGGATTCCTCCAAAGTACCTGCCCCCACCAGCCTCCTAAGGAAGCTCTTTTTTCCCTGACCCGGGCCTAGGTGGCCCAACAACGGTGATGCCCCCGAACTTCTTCCCCTTTCCTCCACTAGCGGGACGACCCACTTAAGCAACCACCACTTCCGGCCCTTCGCGAAGGGTGGGGCCCAAGGGCTTGGGGGCGGAGGCTGAGGCGAGGGGGCGGGGCTTCAGTCCCAGGTCCCCGCTCGCTCTCCCGGGCGGCCTCAGCGGCGGAAGTGGCGCTACTGGGAGATCCCCTTCCGCTCGGAGGCGTTGCCGGGGCCGCGGAGCCGGACTACGGCGGGGGCAGGAAGAGCTGGGGCGATGGCTGACACGGAGCAGGTGGGTCCAGGAGAGATCACTGGGACCGGGTGGGAGTACGAGGGCTGTGTCTTGCCAGCAGATCCTGTCCCTGTCCCTCGGCCCAATGTCCGTCCTTGGTTCCCTCCGACCCTTCCCACACCCTTCGCGTCCCAGGCCCCGCCCCCTTCCTGGGCTTGGCCTCGCTCCGCCCCGCGCGGGGTTCTGGGGTCTCCGGCGCTGACCCTCCGCGGCCCCGCCCACCCGAGAGGGCCCCGGGAGGGCGTTCCGGATCGCCCTCCAAAGCTTCCGTCTTAATTCTGAAGGGAGAGGCGAGGGGATGGTATCTGGGCATTAAGAGTCAGGGTTTGGATGTGGGGAGGGGTCAGGGTCTGAGGATGATGAAAATACCTGCACACCCCGGTACGTCTCACTGTCATCCTGTCTCCCCGAACTTCCTTTGGAAACGGCAGTGAATAACTTCTTAGTCGACCTCTAAAAGGCCCTTTTAAGTATCTTTCTTGAGTTCTTAAAGATGCATAACACTCGTGACCACATTCCTAATCTGCATAATCGACATGTGCCCCATCCCCCTTTGGGCATCCCCTGCCTCAGCATCTTATTTTCTTCCTACTCCTCTGACAGAAGTACCGTTTCACATTCACCTCATTTGCCCAGACCTTCACTCTGTACACTGAATCTGGATGCTCTCATCCACTCCCATGGCTTCAGCTTTACACCACTCATACCTGAAAGGCGCCCAAATCTACATCTTCTGCACAGCCCCTCCCTGGAGCCCCAGATTTGACCATCAAGTGGCCAGTCCACTTCAGCTGCAGCTCATGTATCTAACTTTGAACTGGTCTTTTCCCCTGCACACTCATTCTTCCTTTGCTGCTCATTCTAGCCAGAAACCTGGGAGTATCTTAAATTTATCTTTTCTCACTCACTCAGTCCCCATACCTAAGAGGTGACCTAATCCAGCTAACTTCCTGAACTTGCTTCACGCCTGGTCCTGGGCCTCCATCTCTTTCGTTACCACATTGTTGATATGTTTCTCACCAGGATCACTGCAGGGACTTCCCAGCAACTTCCCATTTACGGCTGCCTGCAACCCCGTTTCCAAACTGTAACTAGTGGTCCTTTTAAAACCCAAGTTTCAGTGTCACTTTCTTGTTTAAAACTGATGGCTTCCCACTGCCTGTGGGAAAAGGGTGAATCCCTAGCACGATTTATAAATCTATCATTTGACCTCTTCCTTACCAGTTTCCTCTGTGCACCCAATGGCCTAATAATTTTGCACCACAGTATGCACCTGCCCACACCTTCCTATTTCATGTCTCCATGCCTTTGCACATACCAGCCTCTCTGCCTGGAAAGTACCTTCTCTATCATCTGGTGGGCCACCTTCTCTTTGTCTTTCAGTGCTCTGCTCAGACAGTAATGTCTCTGGACTGACGTCCTCCCCAACTCGCTAGACTAATTACTGTCCCTCTGTGTCCTTACAAGCACCCCGTTATAGGAGCATAGTGAGAACAGACTCCCGAATCAGGTGACCTGGGTCTGGACACTGTTTTGTGACCTTGATGAAGTCAGTGCCTTACTTCCCTCATTTGTGAAATGGAGATAGTAATGTGCCCACCTGATAGAGTTACCATGAGGTGTAAATGAAATAATGTGTGTATAGGGCTTGAAACAGCACATGAAGTGTTCAGTAAATAAATGTTAGGTGTTATTTATACAAGAGCAATATAGAGCAGTGGTTATGATTCTTAATTTCAAAAGCTGCTTGAAGATGCTTGGTGTAACGTACTTCTCATTCTGTCCCAGAACCCCAAAGCTTTGCCCCTTGTCAATAAGCAAAATGCTAGAGTAGAGGGCATTGGGGAAAGGATCTGGATTTATCTAGTGAGAATTCTTGAGTGAAAAAGACCCAGACCTGGTATCAGTCAGCTCCGGAAATGACTCTGGAGATGGATAAATGTTATATGACGAGCATTGATCCAGAGAAGTGGCCCTGGGAACCCAAGGGAGAGAAAGGCCAAGATGGCTTCCCAGAGGAGCCCACAATCAGTGAGGGCCTTAGAATGAGATGATGCATTTACCAGAGGGAGATAGAGATCCAGATGGGCCCAGAGAATGGAGAGCTGGGTCCTCTGAGCAGAATTCTTGCAGGGGGAAGAAGCTGAGGTGGGCAGGAGGGCAGAGGCAGCCTCCTCTGCTGAGGTTGGGGATTCCTTTCCTCAGTTGGCCATGAGGAAGTGACCCCCTTTGTTTAGGAGCCTGCGGGCCCATGCCCTGGGGAGGTTTGGAGGCCTGGAACTTGGCATTTGGAGGCAGACCTCCTGAGGTAGGGTCAGCATGCACGCCTATGGGCTGGGCCTGTGCTTTAGACCAGAGTCTGGGCTGTTCATGCTGGTTTGCCTGCCTGGAATGCTCATCTTCCTCGCCCCTAGCTAATAGATGCGGGTTCTTCAGGCCAGGGTCAGGTGGCTCCTACCCCGGTGGCTTTCCTGACCTCACTCACTCCAGCCTGGGTCAGATGCTTCCTTCTCTGGGAGCCCACAGTCCTTTGTTCATTTGTCCCTGAAAGCTCTGGTCACAGTGTGACCCGCGTATTGTTTATGTGTTGGCCTCCGTCACCAGACTGGAGCCCACGAATATCCGCAGGGACCAGAAGAGTTTGGGGCGTGCTGTAGGCTCTCGGTCCGTGTGCCGCACTGAACCGAGCTCTCACACACCGAGAGCTGTTTGGGGGCATGTGAGGGAGAAAACAAAAGTCCTGTTGATTCCTCAGCTCATACTTGTTGGATCAAGCAGTGGATTATTAGCTCTGTTTTACAGATGAAGAAGCTGAAATTCAGGGAAGTAAGGTCAGGGTCACTCAGTGGGGACTTCAAGAACTGTCTCCTCACTCCAGGTCCACAGATGTCTCCCAGAAACTGTCTTGGGGCCCAAGCCCCAAAGTGGCAGCTGCCACATCAGTGGGGCAAGGGACAAGGAATACATTCCATGTGGCCAGTTGTGTATCCTTGTGAGCTTCTGGCTGGGAAGAAACTGGTCTTGGCTTTTGTCTGGCTGGGGCTGGGGCTGGGAGGAGACTGTGCTGAAGTGCCTGACCCTGCTGGGGACTTCCCTCGAGTGGGCTGATCGGACGGAGGTTTCTCCAGGAAGATGACGGGCCCTTTCCAGACTGCGCTTGAGAACTTGCCTTATTAACCCCAAATTTTACCCAAGAGCACTAGGGTGGGATGGGGCCTGACTCAGCAGCCTCTGGCAGGCCAGGCAGGGGTCTTGGAATCACAGAGCTGGGGTGTTCCTGACACTAAACAGGGCCTGGCATGTGGAGGGAGCAGGAGGGCTGAGTAGATCTCAGCTTGTTTAGGTTTTCTAGTTCAGGTACTGCCAGAACCTCAGATTGGGTAGGGGGAGGGTAGTATACAATGGTGAATATAATTTGTTTTAGTTTGACTCTTCCCCTTTCCACTTCCCCAGAAGGAAAGGAGAAATGGAGCCCAGCTTCAGCTCTGAGAGTTTTTTTGTCACTGCTTCTGTGTCCTCCTCTCCTTAAACTCCTGTTTTCCCAGGGAACTTCCCAAACCTTCTGTAGGTGGGGCCAGGTAAGGTCCAGTAAGCCTTCCGTGCCGAGGCTGACGGCATGGGCCAGTGAGCCCTGAATTGCAGTGGAGCTGAGTATGTGCCATCCGTAGTCAGCTCCCTGAACCCGGGGCTCACCCTTCCGTCCGGCAGTGCTGACAGGACCCTCATTTGGGGCGAAGTGCCATGGTGCACATGCCTGGCCAAGGGCCCCGAACAGTAGTCATTGCTACAAGGAACTAAGCACAGACATTTGCCATGCGTTATTTCTAATCTTTTCAGTAACTCTGTAAAGTGGTCACTGTATTATCCCAATCTTACAGACACGGAGACTGAGATTCATGGAGACTTAGTGCTTTGGTCAAGGGCACAAGGCATAGTGAGGAATGGCCTTGGGCTTTTGACTTCAGGTCTGATGCCCAGTCCCCAAGTCCATGCCCGTCCCCCGTTCTAGAGTGGACATTCTGGGCCCACAGACCAGTTACCTTACTATACGTACCATGGCCAAGCAGTGTGACCTGAGCCTTAGGAGCTCGAGGAGAGATGACTCTCTCATTCAAGTCTAGCTGTGTGATAAGGGAAGTGCCGAGCCTCAGTCCTGAGACTGGGGATTGGGGAAGCCTGGAGGGTGAGGGAAGCTTTGCCCGGGAGGTGATGTTTGAACTGGTCTCTGAAGAGGCAGAGTTCTCCCTTGGGGTGAGTTCATTCCAGAACAAGAACACAGGGAAAGAAGTGGAAGCATGGAAGGGAGACCTGCTGGCCTCGGTGAGTCCTGGGAGCAGCCAGTGGTCAGGAGAGCCTTGTGGAGGACCAACCCCCGTAGCAGGAGAGGAGTGCTGGGGTCTGGCTGGGGAGCAAGTCCTTCCTCTTCCTTGACCTTCACTATCTAAGGAATTTAACATCCCGCCAGTCTTCTCCCTGTGAGTCAGGGCTCAGGGAGAGGGAGGGAGGTAGCTCTCATGCCTGAGGTGCCCAGGAAACCAGTGCCCCTTGCCCACTGGTGGCAGGGCTGCCTGGTCTCTGGGCTGCAGAAGACACCAGCAGAGGGTGGAATCCAGCTCCAGGAGAGGCAGTCTGGACAGGGAGGGGCTGCTCTGTCAGGGCTGGGCATGAGTGTACACGTGCACCTGTGCACGGACCTTGTAAATTGTTGATCAGCACTCTTCCTGAATGTCTACTATACACCTGGTGCCATTCTGGGTACTGAGCACAGCACAGTGAGCAAAGCACAGAGAACACCTGCTCAGGTGAGGCTTGCGTTCCAGTGGTAGAAGACAGGCAGTAAATGCCAATGGGTAGACATATACATCTGGGGAGATACATGCTGTGAAGAAGAATAAAGCAGGATAAGGGGATGGAGGGTGGAGGCTAAACAGGGAGTTTGGGGAAGGCCTCTCCAAAGGGATGTTCATATAGAGACCAGGAAGAAGGGAACACTGCAGAGA